ACACTGGTGGCTGCTGGGGATAATATTCGTGTCCCGGAACCAGTCAAACTGGGACAAAGCTAGTCCATTAAAAACAACAAGGTGCGACAAAACAAGCCTGAAACTTGTCCTGAAATTAATGCAGCTGGTTGAACTCTGAAGACACTCAGGCTGCATCTACACTGCCCAATATTCCAGGATCTGATCCTCGATTAACTACTTTAAACCGGGTTATATGAGTCTCCACTGCCAAATAATTTCGGACCAGTTCCTGAGATATAGGGCAGTGTAGATCCAACCTCTGGGCCTCATCACACTAGAAAAAAAATCCACTTAAAATCCGGTTTGTGCCTCCTGCAAAATTCTGGGGTTTATAGTTTAGGGCAGTTGTTAAAGTCTCCTCCCTAATCTACAAACTCCAGAATTCTGCAGGGGGCAGAAACCGGATTTTAAGTGGATTTTTTCTCTAGTGTGATGAAGTGGTCCCAGCTGAGGCTGAGGCTGATCCAAAGGAAAAACCCACACAAACCGAGGAAACGAAGATGCAAGCGAGACAAAGAGCTAGCAAGCCAAACTACAAGCAACAGCCAAGGCAATGGCGCCAATCTGAGCCAGGACAGAATAAATGGCGTTGTAATAGGTTTAAAAAGGGGGGTAGTGGCTCGGTGTTGGACTAGGGCCCTGAGAGACTAGGCTTCAACCCTCCCCCGCAAGGCACACTCTCTCAGACTCAGTGGAAGGCAATTGCCACCTCCTCCGAAGATGATCGTATCAAGAAAACCCAATTTGGAGCAAAAAGAGACTCCCCTCTGTCGGGCAGACTCAGAAAGAAGATTCCCCCCTTCGGGATTTCTAGTTCTAATGGACAGGAGTGGGAGCACTTCTTTATGGACTAGGCAGAAGCCCTCCTTTATTTTGTGGTGGTTTCTGAAAGAGAATGGCGGTTCTTCCAAGGAAGGAAGGATCGATCTTTTAGGATCGACAGCGAGCCGAATTATATATGAATTTAAGACTAATTGTTAGTCCCAAACTAAATAAAACTCACCATATTTCAAGGTGGGGGGAGGTGTTGGTCAATCAAATGTATGTAACGCCCATGGGTGCTATTTATGATGCCTGCTCTCACAGAGATTAGTAATTGAATTGGGGCATTTTGGGATCTCTGCAAAATAAAGTTGCATTGAAACTGGGGCTTGGCGTCTTCTTCCAGCAGCCCTACTGAAATCACCTCAACTCGCTTCCATTCGTTTCAGTAGATTTAACTATGGCTGGATGGAATCTGGAGATGGAAAGAGAAAGGCCTTTATCTCTGTCTGTGTATTGTATGTTCTTGTTCACTGTGTAAAAAGGCATTGAATGTTTACCTTATATATGTAAACTATAATCTGCTCTGAGTCCCTCTGGGGAGAGAAAGTGGAATATAAATAAAGTGTATTATTATTGTGTTGTTGAAGGCTTTCATGGACGGAATCACTGGATTGATGTGAGTTTTCCGGGCTGTAGGACCATGTTCCAGAAGCACTCTCTCCTGACCTTTCGCCCACATCTATGTCAGGCATCCTCAGACGTTGTGAGGTCTGCTGGAAACTAAGCAAGTGAGGTTTACATATCTGTGCAATAATGTCCAGGGTAGGAGAAAGAACTCTTGTATGCTTGAGGCAAGTGTGAATGTTGCAAAAGGCCACTATGTATTATTATGTATAATAATAATAAATGTATTTATTATTTATTTATATCATTTTTACCCCGCCCATATCAGCCCAAAGGCGACTCAGGGCTGTGAACAATCGGCACAATTGTATTATTATTATTATTATTATTATTATTATTATTATTATTATTATTATTATTATTATTTACACTGCCAAACAATGCAGGTTGAACTGGATCATATGGTCAAACCCTTATATTGCCCTTCAATGCAGTGTAGATCCAGCCTGTGACTAAGGACGCATCTACTCTGCAGAATTAATGTCGAACTGCACTAATTTTAGAATATAAATGTGGGTCCTCCTGACCCCAAATGGGGTCCCTTCGCCTCATTGTTGGGGACCAAAAAATGGCAACAATAAAAGGTTTCTGTACACACCCATGGCCCTTCCACACAGCATATAACCCAGAATATCAAGACAGATAATCCATAATATCACAATATTGTATTATTATTATTATTATTATTATCATTATCAGTATCTGCTTTGAACTGGGTTATCTGAGCCCACCTTGCTATATAATCCAGTTCAATGTGGAATTTATACAGCTGTGTGGCAGATAATCCACAATGTCACAATACTGTAATAACATTATTATTATTATTATTATTATTATTATTATTATTATTTATTATCATCAGTATCTGCTTTGAACTGGGTTAGCTGAGTCCACATTGCCATATAATCCAATTCAATATAGATTTTATACAGCTGTGTAAAAGGGCCGCATTTATACAAAACCGTTAGCAACAAGGTGCAGTGTTGACAAGTGGATTCTTCAGAAAATACTTCAGGAAACCGAGCCTTGAAAATGCTGATTTAATATCAGCAAATGTTTGTTTATGATACTAATTTTATATACCATTTTACGAAAGCTTGACAGACAACTAAGAGCCCTTCCACACAGCTATATAACCCAGAATATCAAGGCAGGCAATCCCACAATATCTGCTTTAAACTGGGATATCTGAGTTCACACTGTCATATATACCAGTTCAATGCAGATAATGTGGGATTTTATACAGCTGCGTGGAAAGGGGGAACTGAACTTTTGGCATCTCTACATTAGATGCATTCACCTAGGAGTAAATCCTATTGAATGCAATGTCAGCTAACCTAGGGCCCTTCCACACAGCCCTATATCCCAGAATATCAAGGCATAAAACCTCACATTATCTGAGTCCACACAGCTGTGTGGAAGTTCAGAGCAGATACCGTGGGATTTTCTGTGTGGAAGGGCCCTTAGGTACGTGACTCTGATGGTTTCGAAAAGTTTTGTTCCGATTGCCCTTCCTTTGAGACTGAAACAACTCGTATGTGTAGATTGGAGCCCTGATGTCTCAGACCCAGACCCACAACACCCAATCCTTCTCTTAACGGGACAAGAGTTGGAGGATACAGAGTAGCTCTGGAAGAGAACTTGGCCCTGGTCTCCCTCTCTCTTTACAATCTCCTTCCTGCCTACATTTGGAAAGGCCGGTCTACCCAAACCAACGAGCAAAGCCACCTCCCAAACCCACACAGTATACAACCCAGGATATCTAGGCAGAAAACTCCACTATATCTGCATTGAACTGGGATATCTGAGTCCACACTGCCATATATTCCAGTTCAAAGCAGAAAATGTGGGATTTTATTCAGCTATAGGGAAAGGGCCTAAGTTTGGGCAAAAAATTCGCAACAGGAGAAAGCGTTAAGTGAAGTTTTTTTTTCTGGTGCTTTCTTTGTGTGAAGGGCGCTCAGTGAAAACTTATTTAGCAAAAGGTTTTAGTGGTTCAGTGGGGCAGGCCGTCCCCAGAATGCCTCTTGTTGTTGTTGTTATTGTTGGGAAGCATTTTTTTCTCTTAACTGCACTGGAAACGACTCTCCCACAGGTTATTCGCTTCGGACGTGGCTCTTTAAATATGAAAGGCAGCATGGGTCCCTTTATTATATTGGCATGATTATTATCCCGCCTTTCCCCAGATAATATACCGAATATTTAGGAATTGAAGGAAGTGTGTGTTGTTTCTGAGTCGAAGGGCTGGTTTAAAGGTTTGCTTCAAGGAATTCCCTGATCTGAATGGAACTGGAATTGTGTTGTCGAAGGTTTTCAGGGCCTTTCGTGGAACTGAAATTATTTCCAGGAGGGAAAACGCAGAGATCTCTAGGTGAAACCCTTCCCTTCCCACTCCAGCTGCCTCTCCGAAAATAGGCACGATTTCACTCGGAAGCCGATTCTGCCAACCAACGGAGACCCCTTTGCTGCCTTTGGGGACGAGGCAAAGCAACTGGTTTGGGGCAGTGGGCTTCCCGAAGGGTCCCTCTGATTAGGATCCCGATTTTGCAAAAACAAAGGGTCTCGGGGTTGGTCGTGGTGGCGCCTGACTCGCCATCCGGGGCCTCGGAGCGCCTTTGCTGAATGTAAACAAACCGGAGCCCAGCCCGACAAAGTGCCCTCTTTGTGGGCTTTGAGTCTGTCTCTCGGTAAGGAGGAGAGGGTGCGGAAGAGGGCCATTTCTATGGGTTTTTTCCCCTGCCAGGAGCGACTTGAGAAATTGAGAAACCACATTAAGAACTTCCTGACTGTGAGAGCTGTTTAGAAGTGGAACTCTCTGCCCCGGAGTGTGGTAGAGGCTCCTTCTTTGGAAGCTTTTAAACAGAGGCTGGATAGCCATCTTTGAATACAATTTTCCTGCTTCTTGGCAGAAAGGGGTTGGACTGGATGGCCTATGAGGTCTCTTCCAACTCTATGATACAAGTGGCTCCTGGTGTGAGAGAATTGGCTGTCTGCAAAGACGTAACCCAGGGGACTCTGACCGTCTGCAGTAACGTTGCTCAAGGGACTTCATACTCAGAGGAAGCCTGGGCGCTTTACCATCCTGTGGGAGGCTTCTCTCATGTCCCAGCATAAGGAGCTGAAGCTGACAGACAGGAGTTCATCCCACTCCCCGATTGGGACAATCGCCCTTTTGGTCAGCAGTCCTGCAGGCACAAGGGTTTAACCCATTGCTCCAGGAGGCTCCATTACGGGTTCGAACACTGGGGCTAGAAAATCATGGCAGTTGTAGTTTTACAAGGTCTTTCGCCTTTCTCTGCCTGAGAGTGTTGGTACCTTACTAAGCAACTACTTTCCTGCATCCGTGTTGATAAAGTGGGCTGGGATTGTATTAATTCGGCAGGGTAGGTGCACCCAAAGCTTCCCCCTCCTTTCTCCAGCCGAAGCCCATTGCGGGGAGAGGGGAAACAAGCGACCCCGCTTCCCCCCATTTGCTTCGGAAGGAAGGCGAGAGCCGGGGCCGAGCCAAGGGACGGGGAGACGGGACTCACCCTCCGGGAAGACGGCCCTCATCTTCAGGTAGCTGGTGGTGAGGCGGATGATGGAGGCCTTGTCGAGCTGGGAGGTGATGGCCGAGGGCAAGGGCAGCAGCTTGGCCAGCTCGTAGAACTCCCCGTTCTCCTTCTCGCGCCGCGTCTTGGCCGCGTTCTTGGACTTCTCCTTCATGGCGGATCCGGCGCGGAAGAAGAGGAAGAGGAAGACGCCTGGCGGGGGGCCTCACTGGCATAGTAGTAGGGCCCGGGGATGCCCCTCCGCTTCGCCTCCCGCGGGAGAGTCCCCCGCACGGACTCCTTCGGAAGGAAGCCTCGGCCTCTGCTTGCCCCTTCGCCCAGCTCTGAGAGTCTTCTTTCCGCGCCTCCCCACCGAGTCAAGGTCAAGGGCGGCCGGCGGGTGGGTGGAAGTCGCAGAGCCTTTTGAACCGGGGGTCAATACGCGATGGAGCCCGAGCTTCCCGGTAGACTTCTCTCTCTCCTCTCCCGACACGTGTCTCCTCACTGGGAGCCCTTCAAGGGCCGCGTGGGCTGGCCTCACGGGAAAAGACTCGCCGAAGGAGAAAACTCTTCCCTGGCTGCCTGCAAAGCCTGACCGGGTGAGGGATGGCCCCGCGGCCACGGATCGCCTTCCACTCGCTCCCTCGCGCGCGCTCCGGATTGGAGGGAGGGAGGGGGAGGCCGAGGGGGCGGGGGAGGAGGGGGAGGAGGAGGCTGGCCTGGAGAAGAGTGTCTCTCTCTTGTGCGTCTGAATGTATGCGAGCTCCCTTCTGACGCCCCTTTTCAAAGGCTGGATCTACACTCTCGTGGAATGCAGTTTGACGTGCATTGTTTCTTCACCCGTATCATGCAGTTCAAACTACAGTCAGTCCCCGAGTTACAAACATCTGGACCCTAGTTAACAACTAAGGTGAGACAACAGAAATCTAACCCTAGAAACGGTTTAACCATGCAGCTGTGGACAAGTCTACATAGGGACCACCAAACGCAGCGTTGCCCAAAGTGAATCAAGGAACACGGAAGGCACTGCAGACTACTTCAACCAGAGAAGTCAGCCATAGCAGAGTACCTGAAGATCCAACCTGGACACAGCATATTATTTGAAACACGGAAATGCTGGACCGCTCCAACAACCACCATGTCAGGCTACACAGAGATTGAAATCCACAGACATGTGGACAAGAAATCCACACAAAGCACATGAACAATTTCAACAGAAAGTAGGAAATTATCAAAATGAACAACACCTGGCTCCCAGTATTTTTAAAAAAATCTAAAATCAGGACAGTAAATAAAGAGCAACACTCAAAAAGCTGGGGAATCCCGGACAAGAATCCATCAAGGCCAGCTAACACCTCCCAAACAACGTAGCCCCCAGGTTGGAAGCAGCCAGGCTTTGAAGCTGCAAGGCCATTAAATACTTATCATTTCTAACATCCACACTTGCCTCAAAAAGACAAGAGTTCTTTCTCCCACCCTGGAGATAGATAAACCTCACTTGGCTAGTTTCCAACAGACCTCACAACCTCTGAGGATGCCTGCCATAGATGTGGGTGAAACGTCAGGAGGGAATGCTTTTGGAACATGGCCATACAGCCCGGAAAACTCACAACAAGCCATTATTATTTCAACTGGGATTTTCTGCCTCGATATTCTGGGATATAGGGCTGTGTGGGAAGACCCCCAAGACAGTCCAAAGTGGGGCAGTAGGAAAGAGGAGAACCGCATTACAGCGGAACAACATGCAGTCAATGGAGTCACAGCCCTGAGTTTGCAAGGCCAGAGCTGGGCAGTGGATGGCGGGGCTCTGGTCGTCTCTCATTCACAGGGTCGCCGATTTGAGGGAAATTAAGAAGAATTAAGAAGAAAAACCTTGATTTGCAAACGTGAAATCCCACTGACTCCACTGGCTTTATTATCCCCATGCAAGGAGGTGGAGGGTGCAGGAGGCGCGTTAACTGGTTGTAAACAGATTAAATGGGATTCCCAGGAATCCATAGCCTTCATCCAGGGCAGTTCAAATGTGTCAAGTCAAGCTGCATTCATTGGACAGTGTAAATGCCCCTGGATTCCAACACTACACTGAGCTAGCTCTCTACTCCTCGTTAAATGTCTTCTTATGGGAGAGAAGAGGCCTTCGGTTGTTTTGGGTTTTTCGGGCTGTATAGTCATGCTCTAGCAGCATTCTCTCCTGACGTTTTGCCTCCATCTATGGCAGACATCCTCAGAGGCTGCGAGGTCTGTTGCAAACTAGGAAAATTGGGTTTAGATCTGTTCAAAGTCCTGGATGGGAGAAAGAACTCTTGTCTGTTGGAGGTAGGTGCATTATCTCTTCATCCAAACTACAGGCAGGTGACATCACATACCAGGAGCCCCAGCCCGCGGCCCAGTCCTCCCGAGTTATAAACCCCAGGCTCAAAGGGCAGTCCCCGAGTTACAAACATCTGGCTCCTAGGTGTTTCATTTGGCCACCCTGATTAACATTTGATGGCCTGACAGTTTTTAGGTGTGTCTTGTTCCTGCCTGGGGTAATCCTTTGTTGAGAGGTGATTAGCTGTCCCTGTTTGTTTCTTGTCTGCCCCCCCCCCCCCGTGTTTGAGTATTGTTCTTTATTTAAATTTATTTACATTTATATTTATTTACAAGAGGCCTTGTTCAAACAGACTGTGAAGGGAGCAGTGGACTCCTCAACCTACAAGTTTCGTTTGGAAAACGAAGCCCACTCCCCAGGAAGACCCCCAGGAAGAAGGAGGTCCTTCAAAAGGTGACCAAACTCCCCAGATTTCCTTACTATGACCCCTCGGGTCCAGGGTCCAGGTACAACACGCACCAGTGCCTCCAGGCTCAAGGGGCGATTCTCAAGTTACTCAGAACAAAGCTGGAAACAAATGGCACGTTTTGTCCTGCTGGGATTTGGGGGTGGGGGGGGTGTGTGGGCAGGGGGAGGTTTTCCTAGAAATCTAGACACCAAGACCTGTCTTGTCGGCATCTACCATTGAAATCAGTTCCCAGGTAGCTTCAAACTGCGGTGGTTACTAGACAACAAACTCCCACGAAAAGTTACTCAAAGGCTTCAGTGCTCAGTGGTTTTTGTCATCACCATCCTCAAACCAGTTCCAGGATTTCCTAGGTCATCATCCGCACAGGTGGGCAGGCCTTTCTGGCTGCTTCCTACCTGGGGAGAATCCTTTGTTGGGAGTTGTTAGCTGGCCCTGATGGTTTCTGTTGGGTTTCATCCCTGGCTGCACAAGTTTCCAGCCATGAATGACTAGTTACCCTAGATAGAATAGAGTGAGGGATTCTTCCCCCAAATTCCTAAGCATGTCTGTCTCAGAAGGGGCTTTGAAGGGGCTTTGTCTTACTCCTCCTGCATGCCACTATCTCCTCCCTCTGCTGGTTATTAACTGCTTTTGGCACTCTGCTATATTTTTGTGGCATCACCCCAAGTGAGGGTTATTTTTCAGCCTAACAGCTCCTGATTCCCATCAGTTTCCTGTCTGGAATTCTCTGCTTTCTGAATGTTGTTCTTTCTTTACTGTCCTGATTCTACCAATAGACAGATTTTGTTCATTTTTGTTCATCCTTTCTGTTGACATTGTCCACATGCTTGTGGATTACAATGGCTTTTCTGTGTAGTCTGACAAGGTGGTTGTCAGACTGGTCCAGCATCATGAATTGTGATATCCGGGCTGGGTTACCAATATAGGGTGTTGTAGAATGAACCCAATTGGACTCCACTTTAACTGCCATGGTGTGGAATCCTGGGGTTGAAGGATTCCTGGGGAGAATCCTTTGTTGGCAGTTGTTAGCTGGCCCTGATTGTTTCTGTTGAGGTTCATCCCTGACTGCACAAGTCTCCAGCCCTCGATGAGTAGTTAGCCTAGATAGAAGAGAGTGAGGGATTCCTTCCCCAAATTCCTGTGCCTATCTCAGAAGGGGCCCTGTCCTTACTCTTCCTGTATGCAACTATCTCCTCCCCCTTTGAATACTTAGCAATGTGATACCTGTAAAGGATGAGGTGATTTCCTCTTCAAAGGTATTTTGATTGCCATGGTTTTTATTGCCCCGGTGAGGCCATGTAGTCGTTCTCTATTTTGGCCTCTCTCTTCGTCTTCCTTGAGTGAGGACGCCTCTTGCCTTCCTCTAGGCAAGACGTAGCTGCAAGGATATTTGCTTAAGCGGATGAGGGGGAAAAGGAAAGTGCTTAAGGCTGTTAGGAATGGTGGGAGTTGAAGTCCAAAACACTTGGAGGACCCAAGTTTGCCCAGGCCTGCTGTATATGCACTCAAAACTTGCCTAAAGGGTCCTCCCTTGAAATGACAGAGTTCCAGTGCTTGCTGACTTGACCTATCCAGGCCCTTGGATTAAATTGGGCTTAGGTAAAGGTTCCCATATATAAAAGGTAAAGATTTCCCCCTGACATTTAAGTCCAGTCGTGTCTGACTCTGGGGTGTGGTGCTCATCTCCATTTCTAAGCCGAAAAGCCGGCGTTGTCCGTAGACACCTCCAAGGTCATGTGGCCGGCATGACTGCATGGAGCGCCGCTCGAGCGGTACCTATTGATCTACTCACATTTGCATGTTTTCGAACTGCTAGGTTGGCAGAAGCTGGGGCTGACAGCGGAAGCTCACACCGCTCCCCACATTCGAAGCGGTGACCTTTCAGTCAACAAGCTCAGCCAGCTCAGCGGTTTAACCTACTGCACCCTACTCACGATTGGTCCTACTCACAAGAAAATATATGTCCATAACTCCTTCCCGCCCCCTTCAGAAGCAGCATCAACAGAGGAATGGATGGGGGAGTTGCTCTTCCTCTCCTCTTTGCTCTGCGGTGGGACAAATAGTCTCAGGCGCCCCAAACCCCGGCGCCCACGAACCACTCAAGAGGCCCCGCGGGGCTGTGGTTTCTTGGCAGCCCTGGGCTCCGTCCCATCTTCCCCCCTCCCTCCCTGCTTCCCTTCCTGCCTGCCTCTTCTGACAATGGCTCTCCTTTGTGGATTCATGCAAAGGGGCTTCGCGAGGGGATCCCGGAGAGCTTTTTGACGCCTGCGTGCGGAGGGAGCCGAGGGGATCTGCGAAGCCCCTTCCTCCTCGGCTTCACCGTCCGGGGCCTCGGCGCCTTGCCTTGGGAGGTTTCAGTTTCCCAAGGAAGCTCTGCCAGGCCTGGTCTCCCACTGGAAGGGGCTTCTTTGGAGCGAGGACAGCCGCTTCAAAGAACCCTACAACTAGCCCATTTGTTTGAGGACGAACCCATTCACTAGGGACAAGGCTGTCACCTTGCTCAGCTGCATTTGCCCAAGGATTAACCGCACCAAAGGGCGTTCTCTCATCAATGCGTTGGCATTGAAGCTGCAAGGCTATTCAATGCTAATCAAGGTGGTCAGTTGCAACATTCACACTGGCCTCCAGCAGACAAAAGTTGTTTCTCCCACCCTGGACATTATTCCACAGATATATAAACCCAATTTTCCTAGTTTCCAACAGACTCACAACCTCTGAGGTTGCCTGCCATAGATGTGTGTGAAACGTCAGGAGATAATATTGCTGGAACATGGCCATGCAGCCCAGAAAACTCACAGCAACACACACAGAATATCAAGGCAGGAAATCCCACAATATCTGCTTTGAACTGATTTATCTGAGTCCACTCTCAGATAATGT